GCAAAAGTTAGCAGCAAATGCTGCTGGTGCTGCAGCTGCTGCAGCAAGTTTTGCTGCTGCTGCAGCAGCAACAGCAAGTGGTGGTTGTTGCGCTGCTGCTGCTTTTAGGAGATGAATATGTTTGAGGCGATGTGATGTAGATATGCTGGCGTTTAAGACTGCTGCTGTGGCTGCTGCTGCTGCTGTTTCTGCTGCTGCTCCTTTGTTGCTGCTATGTTTGCTGCTGCAGTGTCGCTGAACTGCTGCAGGATCTGCTGCATGCGTGCCTTTGCTGCTTTTCGGTGCTTCTTTCTCTCTTCTCTGCACTTTGTCTTCTTTCTAAGGATTATATCTCTTGCTCTGGTCCCCTCTGTCTGCTGCAGCTTCGCTAATCTCTTCAGGTTTGAAGCAGCAGGGTTAACTCTCTTATGAACAGCAGCATTAGTTAATAGATTCTTATGCTGACGCCTCTTAGCCGTACCTCTTCTCTTTGGCCTAAGCACTGCTTGTACTTCAGTGCTATTAATAATTCGAGACAAATCTGCATTAAGAAGTTGAGGTTTAATAATATTATAATCTGTCTTGATGCCTTCTTCGGGTGTATCTGCAGGTACATGCTTATTATGACAAAATATCTTCTGCAGGTATGTAAAGGCACTCTCGCTAAATAAACATAGTCTTCCGAGCACGCCTCCAGGGGCTAATAATAATAAGTTTAATCTGCTAACATCGCATAATTCAACACCGGGGATATTTCTGCATGCTCTTACAATACCTTTATCTTCTTTGTATATTATCAGAGGGCCCCTCTTAAGTTTATATTTTCTTGATCTAGCTTTGCCTACACCAGCACGTATTTTTTTGCTGCTTAGAACCTTATCAATATCTGCTGCACATCCAAGTTGTTTAAGAAGTTTTAATGCTGCTTTAGTTTTATTAATTTCTTCAGCAGCATCTGCAACAACAAGAGGTAGCTCAGGTATGTCATCAATAGCATGTCCTTTAGCAGCAACAAGCGGAGGTAGAGCAGCAGCAGCAAGTGCAGCAGCAACAGCATGTCTCTTTAATGTAACATTAACCTTTCTATGCCAGCGTCTCCACGTCTTTGTCGGTGCAAACATACCCCCGCCTCTGCACATATTGGCGAATGCTGCTTGACCGCTTCTATGTGTACCTCCACCTCTTACTCTAGGGACTCTAGCAACAGCTCTACCTGTACCCCACGACTCAGCGCTGCTCTGATACCCTGAGTTGATTGAAACAGCATATGCTTGTCTTTTATTTTTATCTATATTCACGTGAACAAACTTTACTAAGTCCGGACGTATTGCTGCTGAAAATACTGAAGGCATTACACACGTGCCGCACTGATTACCCTCCACATCATATACACCTACACAAGGTCTTGATGAAGCCATCGTCTTTATAATCTTCCTGCTGCTCTTCTTAATCCTGCTGCTGCTGCTGCTGCTGCTGTTGATGCGCCTGCTGCTGCTGCTGCTGCGCTGCTGCTGCTGCAAGAGAGGGAGGCAAAGAGAGGTCCTGCATGCATACATACAGATATATACACACACATGTACATATATATATTAATATATTTTTATATTCATATTCATTTCTATTCCTATTTCAAACTGGTTTCAGCAGCAGCAGCAGCAAAAGCAGCACGACGCACTGCAGCACCAAGCACACTCACGAACGACTGCAGCAGCACCACCAGATGTTGCTGCTGCTGTTGCAACAAAGAAACACAAAAAAATGTCCAAATGCAGCTTACAAATAAAAACAAAGACATAAAAATATACCCTCACCAACGCAGCAAACCCCACGCATACCCCGCAGCAGCAGCAGCAGCAGCAGCAGCAGCAGCAGCAGGCATAGAGAAGTCTTCCTTCTCTTTCCCGTCGTAAAATTTCTACAAAAGAAATATATTATATACAAAGGGGCTCTTAAGCAGCAGCAACAAATCAAAACATTTACTCAGAACACACCTCCCCACCACAGCAACAGCAGCAGCAGCAGCAGCAGCAGCAACAGCAGCAACAGCACATGGAGACATCAACACCGCAGCAGCAGCAGAAAAAAACATACTTTGAAGAGCAGAATCTCCTCTCTAATTAAATGCTGAAGCAAAATACTTCAACACAGCACTCGTGCTGCTGCTGTTGCTGCTGCTGCTGCTGCGGCTGCGGGTGGCCCCGCAGTGGCTGCAGTCCCGCTGCTGCTGCCGCTGCTGCTGCTGCTACTGCTGCTGCTGCTGCTGTTGCTGTTGCTGCTGCTGCTGCTCCTTGGGAGTCGAGAGATCCCTGTTACATATTACTTCGCTCTCTGCAGTGGTTGTTTGTTTGTTTTTTTGTTTAATTGTTTTTAGCTGAGCTTTGATATCTCTGCATCTCTCTCTTTGCTGCTGTTGTTGCTGGAGCTGCAGTTGCTGCTGCTGCCGCTCCTTCTGCTGCTGTTGCTGCTGGTGTCGCTGCTCTCTGCCGCAAGCAGCGTCTCGATCAAAGGGGCCTTACCGCTGCTGCAGCAGCAGCAGCAGCAGAATCTCATTTAAAGCAAAAACAGCCGTCATACGCTGCAGCTGTGTTAGCGGCCTCTGCTGCTGCTGCTGCTGGCGCTGCCGCTGCTGCTGCTGCTTGGCGCTGGCTGTTGTTTCTAAAGAGAGGAGGGATGCGCAGTTTGCTGCTGGTATGCGTTGTTGCTGCTGCTGCTACGGCCCTTGAAGGCCCATTAGCAGCAGCAGCACACACTGATATCCCGCTGCGCGACAAGCTGCAGCAGCAGCAGCAGCAGCAGCAGCAGCAGGAGCCTGTTGAAGAAGAAGAGTTATCGTTTGAAGAGTTTCTTGCTTCTGGGGGATTAGGCGGAGAGGGCGAGCAAGAAGAGAACGCCGACTTTGGTGTTGCTGCTGCAGGCAGCAGCAGCAGCAGCAATGGTGAAGCAGACGGGAGCTGGGGTCTCAGCAGCTTGGTTGCTGCAGCAGAAGCAGCAGAAGCAGCAGGAAAAGCCTTTGCTGCGTCTCTGATGTCCGTGGGGCAAGGGCCGAACTATGAAGATGATGATGAGCAGCAGCAGCAGCAGCAGCAGCAGCAGCAGCAGCAGCAGGAAGAAGATAAGGCAGGAGAAGCGCTGGGGCTGTGGGAGCTTAAGGGGATTTCAGAAGCAGCAAAAGCAAGTGCAGCAGCAGCAGTTGCTGCAGCAGAGGAGCAGACAGAGAAGCTTGCTGCTTCTGTTGCTGCTGCAGGGGCTCAGGCTCAGGAGCAGCTGCAGACTGTATATGAAGAGGCAATGAAGCAAGCGCAGCAGCTAGCAGCAGCAGCAGCAGACACACCTGCAGCAAAAGATTTAAAGCATGTGTTGGAGATAGTAGAAAGGGGGGAGACCCCTTCTCTCTCAGATGAATCGGTGCGTCGCTGCGCAGAGCGTCTATCTACTCTTCTTGCTGCTGCAGCTGCTGCTGCTGCTGCTGCAGCTGCAGCAGACAGCAACGACAGCAACAGACCTATGCGAGTACTGTGGGGAGCTCTGGGGGGATTGAGCGCCAGAAGCAGAAGAAGAAGAAGCAGCAGCAGCAGCAGCAGCAGCAGCTACTACGGAACAACCAGCAGCAGCAGCAGCAGAAGAAGAAGAAGCAAGAGAGGAGCTGCAGCAAAGAGGAGGGATCAGAATGCAGCAGATGCAATGATGCGTGTGCTGCAGCATATATTTAATGGTGGGAGCAGCGGTAGTCAGCAGCAGCAGCAGCGGCGGCAGAGGAGGCAGCTGCGGGGACAGCAGCAGCAGCAGCAGCAGGAAGGTGATGGTGAGCAAATGCTAACTACTGTCGTTAGTGCGCTGACCGCTGCAGCAAATGGAGCAGGTAGCGGCGAGCAGCTGCAGCAGCAGAAGCAGCAGCTGGAGCAGCAGCAGGAGCAGTTGGCGGCGCTGCAGAGGCAAATAGAGTCACTGCAGCAGCAGCTTCAACAGCAACAACAGCAACAACCAGAGGAGAACTAAACAGCTTCCATTCAGGTGTATACAGGCAGCTGTCTCGCGCTGCCGCTGCTGCTGCTACAGCAGAAGCAGTCGCAGCAGCAGCAGCGAACACGCCTCCTTCGAGGAGGTGGGGCCCTTCTCTCACCCCAGCAAGCTAAGCGGCTAGCTAGCTAGCTAGACGGCTAGCTAGCTAGCTAGCTGCTGGGAAAGGGCTACGTTAAAGTTGTGCGCACCGTGCTACCCATGACTAGCTAGCTGTAGCTAGCTGCAGCTAGCTGTCAACGTCTAGCGACTATTACCTAGTTAAAGCTACAGCTAGTTGTAGCTAGCTGTACCTATGTATCTACAGCTAGCTAGCTACAGCTAGCTAGCTGTAACTAGCTGGCTAGCTAGCTAGCTAGCGGGGAAAGCCGTCGGAACTTTGACTAAGTTCGTTCCTTTGTAGCAGCAGCAGCAGCATCTGCTGCTGCTGCTTCTTCTACTAAACCTCCCACCAAAACCGGGTAAATGAGTACACCCTGCTGCTGCCGCCGCTGCTGCTGCAGCAGCAGCAGTATTTGCTGCTGCTGCTATTTGGAGAAAGAAATGCAGCAGCAGCGCTTTAGTACGATGCGCCATATAGACACTATACAGCAGCAGTAGCAGCTGCAGCAGCAGCAGCAGCAGCAGCTG